AACACCCGGTCAGTGTCAGCAGCACACACTCACCACCCAACACCCGGTCAGTGTCAGCAGCACACACACACACGCACCCCCCAGTCAGTGTCAACCTCTCCCCGGTCCTCCACACTATCTCTACCTACCTATTCTTCGTCCTCCATCCACTCACTCTCTCCCCGGTCCTCCACACTATCTCTACCTACCTATTCTTCGTCCTCCATCCACTCACTCTCTCCCCGCCTACCCACCAACCTTCCTCCCAAAACACACACACTCCGAGCCTACCTACCCTCGTTCCTCCCTCCATTCTCATCCTGCCTCAACACTCCCCGCCCTCCCTCAACACTCACCCTGCCTACCCACTCCCCGCCCTCCCTCCACACTCCCTTCCTACCCACTCCCTGCCTACCCACTCCCCGTCCTCCCACCACTCTCTCCCTGCCTACCCTCTCCCTGCCTACCCACTCCCTGCCTACCCACTCCCTGCCTACCCACTCCCTGCCTACCCACTCCCTGCCTACCCACTCCCTGCCTACCCACTCCCTGCCTACCCACTCCCTGCCTACCCACTCCCTGCCTTCCCACTCCCTGCCTACCCACTCCCTGCCTACCCACTCCCTGCCTACCCACTCCCTGCCTACCCACTCCCCGCCCTCCCACCACTCTCTCCCCGCCTACCCACTCCCCGCCTACCCACTCCCCGCCTACCCACTCCCCGCCTACCCACTCCCCGCCTACCCACTCCCCGCCTACCCACTCCCCGCCTACCCACTCCCCGCCCTCCCTCCACACTCTCCCTGCCTACCCACACTCTCCCTGCCTACCCACACTCTCCCTGCCTACCCACTCTCTCCTTTCCTACCCACTCTCTCCCTTCCTACCCACTCCCCGCCCTCCCTCCACTCTCTCCCTGCCAACCCACTCCCCGCCCTCCCCACTCACTCTGCCTACCCACTCCTGCCTACCCACTCCCTGCCTACCCACTCCCTGCCTACCCACTCCCTGCCTACCCACTCCCTGCCTACCCACTCCCTGCCTACCCACTCCCTGCCTACCCACTCCCCGTCCTCCCACCACTCTCTCCCTGCCTGCCTACCCTGCCTACCCCTGCCTACCCTCTCCCGCCTACCCTCTCCCCGCCTACCCTCTCCCCGCCTACCCTCTCCCCGCCTACCCTCTCCCCGCCTACCCCTCCCCCCTCTCTCCCCGCCTACCCTCTCCCCGCCTACCCTCTCCCCGCCTACCCTCTCCCCGCCTACCCTCTCCCCGCCCACCCTCCCACTCTCTCCCTGCCTACCCACTCTCTCCCTGCCTACCCACTCTCTCCCTGCCTACCCACTCTCTCCCTTCCTACCCACTCTCTCCCTGCCAACCCACTCCCCGCCCTCCCTCCACACTCCCTGCCTACCCACTCCCCGCCCTCCCATCACCCTCTCCCTGCCTACCCACTCCCTGCCTACCCACTCCCTGCCTACCCACTCCCTGCCTACCCACTCCCTGCCTACCCACTCCCTGCCTACCCACTCCCTGCCTACCCACTCCCTGCCTACCCACTCCCTGCCTACCCACTCCCTGCCTACCCACTCCCTGCCTACCCACTCCCTGCCTACCCACTCCCTGCCTACCCACTCCCTGCCTACCCACTCCCTGCCTACCCACTCCCCGTCCTCCCACCACTCTCTCCCTGCCTACCCACTCCCCGTCCTCCCACCACTCTCTCCCTGCCTACCCACTCCCCGCCCTCCCACCACTCTCTCCCTGCCTACCCACTCCCTGCCTACCCACTCCCCGCCCTCCCACCACTCTCTCCCTGCCTACCCTCTCCCTGCCTACCCTCTCCCTGCCTACCCTCTCCCTGCCTGCCTACCCTCTCCCTGCCTGCCTACCCTCTCCCTGCCTGCCTACCCTCTCCTGCCTGCCTACCCTCTCCCTGCCTGCCTACCCTCTCCCTGCCTGCCTACCCACTCTCTCCCTGCCTACCCACTCTCTCCCTGCCTACCCACTCTCTCCCTGCCTACCCACTCTCTCCCTGCCTACCCACTCTCTCCCTGCCTACCCACTCTCTCCCTGCCTACCCACTCTCTCCCTGCCTACCCACTCTCTCCCTGCCTACCCACTCTCTCCCTGCCTACCCACTCTCTCCCTGCCTACCCACTCTCTCCCTGCCTACCCACTCTCTCCCTGCCTACCCACTCTCTCCCTGCCTACCCACTCTCTCCCTGCCTACCCACTCTCTCCCTGCCTACCCACTCTCTCCCTGCCTACCCACTCTCCTCCCTGCCTACCCCCTTCCCCTCCTCTCTCCCCGCCTACCCACTCCCTCCACTCTCTCCCTGCCTACCCACTCCCTCCACTCTCTCCCTGCCCACCCACTCCCTCCACTCTCTCCCTGCCCACCCACTCCCTCCACACTCTCCCTGCCTACCCACTCCCTCCACACTCTCCCTGCCTACCCCCTCCCTCCACACTCTCTCCCGGCCTACCCACCTCTCCCGGCCTACCCACTCTCTCCCGGCCTACCCACTCTCTCCCGGCCTACCCACTCTCTCCCCGCCTCTCTCCCGGCCTACCCACTCTCTCCCGGCCTACCCACTCTCTCCCGGCCTACCCACTCTCTCTCCCGGCCTACCCACTCTCTCCCGGCCTACCCACTCTCTCCTCGGCCGGCCTACCCACTCTCTCCCGGCCTACCCACTCTCTCCCGGCCTACCCACTCTCTCCCGGACTACCCACTCTCTCCCGGACTACCCACTCTCTCCCGGACTACCCACTCTCTCCCGGACTACCCACTCTCTCCCGGACTACCCACTCTCTCCCGGCCTACCCACTCTCTCCCGGCCTACCCACTCTCTCCCGGCCTACCCACTCTCTCCCGGCCTACCCACTCTCTCCCGGCCTACCCACTCTCTCCCTGCCTACCCACTCTCTCCCTGCCTACCCACTCCCTCCACTCTCTCCCCGCCTACCCACTCCCTCCACTCTCTCCCTGCCCACCCACTCCCTCCACTCTCTCCCTGCCCACCCACTCCCTCCACTCTCTCCCTGCCCACCCACTCCCTCCACTCTCTCCCTGCCTACCCACTCCCTCCCTGCCTGCCTACCCACTACCCACTCCCTCCCTGCCTTCCCACTCCCTCCCTGCCTTCCCACTCCCTGCCCTACCCACTCCCTCCACTCTCTCCCTGCCTACCCACTCCCTCCACTCTCTCCCTGCCTACCCACTCCCTCCACTCTCGCCCTGCCTACCCACTCCCTCCACTCTCTCCCTGCCTACCCACTCCCTCCACTCTCTCCCTGCCTACCCACTCCACGCCCTCCCTCCACACTCGCCCTGCCTACCCACTCCCCGCCCTCCCTCCACTCTCTCCCTGCCTACCCACCCACTCCCCGCCCTCCCTCCACTCTCTCCCTGCCTACCCACTCCCTGCCTACCCACTCCCGCCCTCCCTCCACTCTCTCCCTGCCTACCCACTCCCTGCCACCCTCTCCCTGCCACCCACTCCCTCCCTGCCTACCCACTCCCTCCACTCTCTCCCTGCCTACCCACTCCCTCCACTCTCTCCCTGCCTACCCACTCCCTCCACTCTCTCCCTGCCTACCCACTCCCTCCACTCTCTCCCTGCCTACCCACTCCCTCCACTCTCTCCCTGCCTACCCACTCCCTCCACTCTCTCCCTGCCTACCCACTCCCTCCACTCTCTCCCTGCCTACCCACTCCCTCCACTCTCTCCCTGCCTACCCACTCCCTCCACTCTCTCCCTGCCTACCCACTCCCTCCACTCTCTCCCTGCCTACCCACTCCCTCCACTCTCTCCCTGCCTACCCACTCCCTCCACTCTCTCCCTGCCTACCCACTCCCTCCACTCTCTCCCTGCCTACCCACTCCCTCCACTCTCTCCCTGCCTACCCACTCCCTCCACTCTCTCCCTGCCTACCCACTCCCTCCACTCTCTCCCTGCCTACCCACTCCCTCCACTCTCTCCCTGCCTACCCACTCCCTCCACTCTCTCCCTGCCTACCCACTCCCTCCACTCTCTCCCTGCCTACCCACTCCCTCCACTCTCTCCCTGCCTACCCACTCCCTCCACTCTCTCCCTGCCTACCCACTCCCTCCACTCTCTCCCTGCCTACCCACTCCCTCCACTCTCTCCCTGCCTACCCACTCCCTCCACTCTCTCCCTGCCTACCCACTCCCTCCACTCTCTCCCTGCCTACCCACTCCCTCCACTCTCTCCCTGCCTACCCACTCCCTCCACTCTCTCCCTGCCTACCCACTCCCTCCACTCTCTCCCTGCCTACCCACTCCCTCCACTCTCTCCCTGCCTACCCACTCCCTCCACTCTCTCCCTGCCTACCCTCCTCCCTCCACTCTCTCCCTGCCTACCCACTCCCTCCACTCTCTCCCTGCCTACCCACTCCCTCCACTCTCTCCCTGCCTACCCACTCCCTCCACTCTCTCCCTGCCTACCCACTCCCTCCACTCTCTCCCTGCCTACCCACTCCCTCCACACTCTCCCTGCCTTCCCACTCCCTCCACACTCTCCCTGCCTACCCACTCCCTCCACACTCTCCCTGCCTACCCACTCCCTCCACACTCTCCCTGCCTACCCACTCCCTAAACACTCTCCCTGCCTACCCACTCCCTCCACACTCTCCCTGCCTACCCACTCCCTCCACACTCTCCCTGCCTACCCACTCCCTCCACACTCTCCCTGCCTACCCACTCCCTCCACACTCTCCCTGCCTACCCACTCCCCGCCCTCCCTCCACTCTCTCCCTGCCTACCCACTCCCCGCCCTCCCTCCACTCTCTCCCTGCCTGCCTACCCACTCCCCGCCCTCCCTCCACTCTCTCCCTGCCTACCCACTCCCTCCACACTCACCCTGCCTACCCACTCCCCGCCCTCCCTCCACTCTCTCCCTGCCTCACTGTATAGTACCGAGCCGTACTGAGCCGAGCTCTGTAATGTTTGCACTTTGCAGCACATCTCAGTGTGAACCGAAGCAATATCTTACCAGTATGATTAACTAAAAATTCAATTAAATGAAGGGTCCAGCTGCTTCCAGAGACAAAGGCAAGGAGCCAGCGAAGTGGAGAGGTCTGCGCCAGGAACACGCAGTTACAGGGAGCCGTCAGCTACCAGCGTCCACACTAGGTGCGGCGGAATAGACCTCCAACAATCGGTCAGGAAACTTTGGGAATAATCTGCGCTGTGTTACCGTATGGCGGTTTGTGTTTGTGCCGTCAGTCGTTAGATGGCTCTGTCGACGGTACTTTTTATATATATATATATATATATATATATATATATGTCGTACCTAATAGCCAGAACGCACTTCTCAGCCTACTATTCAAGGCCCGATATATATATATATATATATATATATATATATATGTCGTACCTAATAGCCAGAACGCACTTCTCAGCCTACTATTCAAGGCCCGATTTGCCTAATAAGCCAAGTTTTCATGAATTAATGTTTTTTCGTCTACCTAACCTACCTAACCTAACCTAACCTAACTTTTTTGGCTACCTAACCTAACCTTACCTATAAAGATAGGTTAGGTTAGGTTAGGTAGGGTTGGTTAGGTTCGGTCATATATCTACGTTAATTTTAACTCCAATAAAAAAAATTGACCTCATACATAGAGAAAAGGGTTGCTTTATCATTTCATAAGAAAAAAATTATAGTAAATATATTAATTCAGGAAAACTTGGCTTATTAGGCAAATCGGGCCTTGAATAGTAGGCTGAAAAGTGAGTTCTGGCTACTAGGTACGACATATATATATATATATATATATATATATATATATATATATATATATATATATATATATATATATATATATATATATATATATATATATGTCGTACCTAGTAGCCAGAACGCACTTCTCAGCCTACTATGCAAGGCCCGATTTGCCTAATAGGCCAAGTTTTCATGAATTAATTGTTTTTCGATGACCTAACCTACCTAACCTAACCTAACCTAACTTTTTTGGCTACCTAACCTAACCTAACCTATATAGATAGATTAGGTTAGGTTAGGTAGGGTTGGTTAGGTTCGGTCATATATCTACGTTAATTTTAACTCCCCCCAAAAAAATTGACCTCATACATAATGAAATGGGTAGCTTTATCATTTCATAAGAAAAAAATTAGAGAAAATATATTAATTCAGGAAAACTTGGCTTATTAGGCAAATTTGGCCTTGCATAGTAGGCTGAGAAGTGCGTTCTGGCTACTAGGTACGACATATATATATATATATATATATATATATATATATATATATATATATATATATATATATATATATATATATATATATATATATATATATGTCGTACCTAATAGCCAGAACGCACTTCTCAGCCTACTATGCAAGGCCCGATTTGCCTAATAAGCCAAGTTTTCCTGAATTAATATATTTTTTCTAATTTTTTCCTTATGAAGTGATAAAGCTACCCATTTCATTATGTATGAGGTCAATTTTTTTTTATTGAAGTTAAAATTAACGTAGATATATGACCGAACCTAACCAACCCTACCTAACCTAACCTAACCTATCTCTATCGGTTAGGTTAGGTTAGGTAGCAGAAAAAGTTAGGTTAGGTTAGGTTAGGTAGGTTAGGTAGTCGAAAAAACATTAATTCATGAAAACTTGGCTTATTAGGCAAATTGGGCCATGCATAGTTGGCTGAGAAGTGCGTTCTGGCTATTAGGTACGACATATATATATATATATATATATATATATATATATATATATATATATATATATATATATATATATATATATATATATATATATATATATATATTTATATATATATATATATATATATATATATATATATATATATATATATAGCGCTTCACTGATGGAGGTAAATCAAAAATCACTTCTCCAAAATTCATTTTTATTTCTAGTCTCCCTGCCTACCCACTCCCTCCACACTCTCCCTGCCTACCCACTCCCTAAATCACAGCTCATAAAACAGAGGAAAGGGTCCTGAAAGATATTGTTAATAGAAACGTTATCCCTACAGACAAAAATCAGAGGATACAACTGACGATTTACTATAAAACCAGAAAAACGGCCAGCCTACTCATGAGAAACTCTCCAGACACGAAACAGAACGCTTTAAAAGAGACTAACGTCGTCTATGCCTTCAAATGCCCACTTGGGGACTGTAAGCTCCAAAAAACCCAGTATATAGGCAAGACAACAACATCTCTTTCTAGGCGTTTAACGATGCATAAACAACAGGGCTCCATTAAGGAACATATAATCTCTTCCCATAACCAAACCATCGCCAGAGAAATCCTAGTAAACAACACAGAAATCATCGATAGATACAGCGATAGCAGGCGGCTTGACGTTTGCGAGGCACTACACATCAAGAAGTCAACACCAGCAATCAACAGCCAATTATTGCACAACTATATTCTACCCACCTCAAGACTCCGCTCCAATATAGAAGCATCAAGAAATATGGACCAATAGGCTTTCTACAAACACTTCTATTCAATACCCATTGTTTCTGTTCTGTCTTGTGTTGATACTTTTAATACCCTATTAATATCCCCTAGTGTTCTGTCTTGTGTTAATGCCACATCATCCTTCCCACCTCACTCAAATGTAATGCCACATCATCCTTCCCACCTCACTCAAATGTAATGCCACATCACCCTTCCCACCTCACTCAAATGTAGATATAAAATCAGGGAAACGCAAGTTCTAATCAGTTGTGTATTTGTGAAGTCTTTGAAAATGTAATAAGTTTTACGAAACGCGCCCGTGTCGCGTCAGACTAGAAATAAAAATGAATTTTGGAGAAGTGATTTTTGATTTACCTCCATCAGTGAAGCGCAATGTACGAAAGATTGAGAAAATTCGTGTTAGAATTATTAATCTTACTTTTTCGGTCATATTTAATAATATATGTCTACAGGAAAGACTGCTACCAAAATATACTAATATATATATATATATATGTATGTATGTATATATATATATATATATATATATATATATATATATATATATATATATATATATATATATATATATATATATATATATATATGTCGTACCTAGTAGCCAGAACGCACTTCTCTGCCTACTATGCAAGGCCCGATTTGCCTAATAAGCAAAGTTTTCCTGAATTAATATATTTTCTCTAATTTTTTTCTTATGAATTGATAAAGCTACCCATTTCATTATGAATGAGGTCAATTTTTTTTTATTGGAGTTAAAATTAACGTAGATATATGACCGAACCTAACCAACCCTACCTAACCTAACCTAATCTATCTTTATAAGTTAGGTTCGGTTAGGTAGCCGAAAAAGGTAGGTTAGGTTAGGTTAGTTAGGTTAAGTAGTCGAAAAAACATTTCAAAAACAAATGTAACACAGTATGTGTTAGTAGAGTAGTAATATATAGGTACAGTATATAATATGATAATGCATTTTTATTGTCTACAAGAAAAAAAAAGACACTGACGCAAACGCCTCCTGAAGGTCACCCTCTTGCAACGAATCCAACGCTCCAACAAACTGGGGTTGGTCCTATATAGTACGTTGAATCGAGGTTGTACTATATATATATATATATATATATATATATATATATATATATATATATATATATATATATATATATATATATATATATATATATATATATATATATATATATATATATATATATATATAGTACAATATATAGCGTTGGATTCGTTGCAAGAGGGTGACCTTCAGGAGGCGTTTGCGTCAGTGTCTTTTTTTTTCTTGTAGACAATAAAAATGCATTATCATATTATATACTGTACCTATATATTACTACTCTACTAACACATACTGTGTTACATTTGTTATTTACCTTATTGTTGAAGTTATGTCCATCTTGAAGTCTTATGGAGTTGTAAATGATGTACAGTAAATACATACTGTAGTGTATTATGGCGTTAACACTGTGTTGAGTAGTTCTGTTGTATATTGAGTACTACAATACAGTTTATGAAAACTATTGTACACTAAAATTACGGCAACTTTAATTTTAACACTATGTTTTGATTTGTCAAGAGGCTGGAGTGTTCATAACGTGATTTTGTTGGACATATCTTTTTTTTTTTTTTTTTTTTTTTTTTTTTTGAGATATATACAAGAGTTGTTACATTCATGTACAGCCACTAGTACGCGTAGCGTTTCGGGCAAGTCCTTAATCCTATGGTCCCTGGAATACGATCCCCTGCCGCGAAGAATCGTTTTTTCATCCAAGTACACATTTTACTGTTGCGTTAAACAGAGGCTACAGTTAAGGAATTGCGCCCAGTAAATCCTCCCCGGCCAGGATACGAACCCATGACATAGCGCTCGCGGAACGCCAGGCGAGTGTCTTACCACTACACCACGGAGACTGTAAATCCGTGCACCATGTCGGCTTCAAATGCACTCATTGTGTCAGTGATGGCTGACTTGTGGGTGGATTGGCAGGCAGGTAGGGATGGAGAGGCTGAAATGTAGGCAGGCAAGCAGGAAGAGGCAGGGAGGGAGGCAGGCAGGCAGAGCTTGGGAGGGAGGCAGGCAGGGAGAGGCTGGGATGTAGGCAGGGAGGGAGGGAGAGGCCGGCCGGCAGGCAATGCTTGGGAGGGAGGCAGACAGGCAGAGCTTGGGAGGGAGGCAGGCAGGGACAGGCTGGGAAGGAGACAGGCACGGAGGGAGACAGGCACGAAGGGAGGCAGGCACGGAGGGAGACAGGCACGGAGGGAGACAGGCACGAAGGGAGGCAGGCAGGCAGAGCTTGGGAGGGAGGCAGGCAGGCAGAGCATGGGAGGGAGCCAGGGAGGGAAGCAGGCAGGCAGAGGCTGGGAGGGAGCCAGGGAGGGAGGCTGGGAAGGAGAGGATGGAGATGGATTGACGGAAGGCTGGAAGGAGGGATGGAAGGATGAATAGATGGATGATTTGAGGGAGGGATTGATGAATGGAGGGAGCGATGGAGGTATGGGTGTTGAGTTGAGCAGCGAGTGTATGTGTATGGGCTGTAGGGTGGGGGGTGGGGGGTGGTGTACACAACGCTAAGGGTAGTGAACACCACACCAAGGGTAGTGTACACCACGCCAAGGGTAGTGTAC